AGTCCCAGCTACTCAGGAGGCTGAGGCAAGAGGATCACTTGAGCCCATGAATTTGAAGTTGCTGTATGTTATGATTTCACAGCACTCAACCCAGGGTGACAGATACTCTATCTCAAAGAAAAAAAGCCAATGAATCATAGACCTGAGTGTAAAAGCTAAAATTATGGCATTTCTAGAAGAAAATATAGGAGGTAATCTTTGTAACTTTTGGGTAGGCAGAGATTTCTTAGATAATATGTCAAAAAAGCACAAACCATACAAGAAAAGTTGATACACTGGACTTCATCGAAATTACAATCTTTAGCTCTTCATGAGACACATAAAATGAAAGGCAAGGCACAGACAGATATAAATTATTACCAATACTTTCTGACAAAGGACTTGCATCCAAAATATATAAAGAACTCTCACAATTCAACAAGAAGACAATAAACTTAATCAAAATGATGTCTGAATAATCAATATGCACACAAAAAAGATGTTCAACACGTCAATGGAGAAACACAAATTAAAACCCCAATGATTCCACAATCCAGTCCTAGACAGTTATCCAAGAGAAAGGAAAACATATCCACAAAAAGAGATATACATGAATATTTATGCTAGCTTTATTTTGAATAGCCTAAAACTGGAAATAAACCAAATGTCCTTCAACTGGGGAACAAAGAAACAATTTGTGGTATAGCTGTACAATGGAATATTCAGCAATAAAAAGAAGTGAGTTATTGATACATGCAACAACACGAAGGAATCTTAAAAACATGTCAAGCGAAATAACCTAGGCACAAGAAGCTATGTACCATATGATCCCATTTATATAAATGTCTAGAACAGATAAAACTAATTTACAGTGACAGGAAGCAGAGAAATGGGGTAGCCTGGGGCTGGTAGAGGAGGGTTGACTACAAAGATGCACAAGGGACACTTTGGAGTTCGGCAAGGTTAAGACATTCACCCAAAGTCACACAGCTGGTAACAGGTAAAGCTGAGATTAAAAATCCCAGACTTGGGGCAGTGCCTGTAGCTCAGTGGGTAGGGTGCCAACCACATACACCGAGGTTGATGGGTTAGAACCCAGCCCGGGCCAGCTAAAAAAACAACAATGACAACCGCAACAACAACAAAAAAAATAGCTGGGTGTTATGGCAAGCGCCTGTAGTCCCAGCTACTTGGGAGGCTGAGGCAAGAGAATCACTTAAGCATAAGAGTTTGAGGTTGCTGTGAGCTGTGACACCACAGCACTCTACCCAGGGAGACAGCTTGAGACTCTGTCTCAAAAACAAAAATTATAATAAATAAAAAATAAAATAAAATAAAATCCCAGGCTTGAGATCTTATGCTTTCATAAACTTCTCTACACGATTCCTAGAGAGGAAAGACATCAAACCATTGCAAAGCTTACACATTTTAAAAGAACACCAAAATCAACTATGATTTTTAAAGTTGCAGCTATTTCTAGTTAGTTACAAGGCCATTGGGATGACTTAAAGAGTAGATTGGGTGACAGGACCTGTCATATGCCTTGCTCATCACATAATGCATGTTTTTATTTCTAAAACACCACAAAAGTTAATATTCTAAGTCATCTAAGGCAAAATATAAACTCTTGGGTAATCTTAGATTTCTAGAGCCGGCACCAGGCCTGTTTGGGGTTAGGGAACCTTAGGACCTCCAGGCGTATAGACCCTGGAGACAAGTGACTTGACCAAGGACAACCCACCGAGTATCCCAACCTCTAACTTCTGGTCCACCTCCTGTTCCACTGCCACTTGACAGCCCCACAGAGTTCAGAGCATCTTGTCCCACTGCTGATGACAGAGAAGAATGTTGTGGCCTCACCTAGCCCACTATGGCCAAGAAGTTCTGTGAGAGCTACTTAAGCGGTTTCCCTCCTCTCTTCACCCTTTGCAGCTCCTCTGCAGCCACTGGTCCCTGGGAGGAATCACACAGAATTAGCTCTGGAGGCTGCTCCCTGTAGGGTAGATAGCCCAGACTGAAGGTAACACCTGGTTTTTATCCTGCCTCCCCTACACAGAACCTTTCTGACCTTTACTTTCCTTGTGGGAACTATTATACCCATCTTATGTACCTTAAGGTTGGCTCCAAGATCAGATGAGAGATAGGGCTGCAGGAGAAAGTGGTTTGGTTTTTTGAGACAGAGTCTTGCTCTGTCACCCTTGGTAGAGTGCCATGGCATCATACTTCACAGCAACCTCAAACTCCTGGGCTCAGGTGATCCTCTTACCAAAGGCTCCTGAGTAGCTGTGACTATGGGTGTCTGACACAACACCTGGCTATTTTTTGGAGATAGGGTCTCACTCTTGCTCAGACTGGTCTTGAACTTTTGAGTTCAGGTGATCCACCTGCCTCGGCCTCCCAGAGTGCTAGGATTACAGGCATGAGCCAATGCTCCTGGCTGAGAAAGCGATTTGTAAACTATAATACTAGTTCTAATGTTATCATCACCATGAACAGAAGTAGGCTCTAGTCTCATACAGCAGAAGCAACTGTGGGCTCACTACGCTTTGGGGTGGGGGTTGCCATATCTGAAAAGTGGAGATAATAATACCTGACCTGTTTGAATCAGAAAGTTGGCTCAGATATCCTTCTGGAGTCACTTCCAACTCTTAGGTCTATGGTTCTCTGATTTCAAAAGCCCCCAAGAAGTCTGGTCTCACCTCAATTGGCCTCACTTGCTCTTCTGATGTTTGAATTTTCTTTCATCAGGATGCCAACGCACTTCATGGTATAACCAGAAATGAGACTTCAATGGCAAATGGTCTTGGGGAAGGATGAAGCACATCGCCTCACATTCTCACTATAGTGTGGCTGACTGATATCTGAGTCCTCCCAGAGAGCAAATTTCTGATGAGAAGCTGGGAAACCTGGTCTGAGTCATAAGACAGTTTCCTCAGTGAGAGCCTAGGCTGAATCTTATCTGTTCTCTGAGACCAAACACTTAAAAGCACAAAGCCCCACTTTTAGCTTATTCTCCGAGCATCTGTCCTGCTCCCCAGACCAGGATGGTGGTGGCCTGGGTGTACTTTTCCTGCTCTTTCCAGCTGGGCTCCTGACTTATGAGAGGTGGCTCTGATACTCACTCCTCTTAGCCTTAACACAAGCCTAAGTGACCATCTCTCCTCTCATTTCCAAGGCTGTCCTTGTTCACAGCCCCTAAATTCTAATCCTGTGCACTGCTGAGAATTCTTTTCCCTTCTAACACACCAGCCAGGGTGGTCCAGACCTCCTAAAATTCCTCTCCTCTCACTCTACCTGAGCTGGTATCCAAGAAGATGTAGGTACCATTTGTCCTCACACCTCTTCATTTCAGTTCAGAAAACTGTCAGGGCCGAGACATCAAGATACTGTACTTGTTTCCTTATAATAAGGATTACTAGCATTAGTTGAGAATCTTCTATATGCAAGACACTGTTTTAAGTGCTTTACATACACTAACTTGATTCTCTTATGAAATGGGCACTATAATCTTCATTTTACGGATGAAAAACCGAGGGTCTGAGCCCACAATTAGCAGGTAGACACAGAGTTTATGCACTGCCTGCCAAGGCAAGCTGGGGGTCTTCAGGAAACACGTCATGTATGTGCACTGCTCTTGGGGTGGTTCACTAGAGGCTCAGTCATCTGAAATTCAGCCCTTTCTTTGTCCAAAAGGGGAAACTGAGCCCTAGGGACCAAATGGTCTTCCCAGGTTACCAGCAAGCTGAGCCCAGCATTAGTCTCTGAGTCTGGTACTCTACTCCACTCCCCTCCCTATATATTTCAGGGAAATCCACTGACCACAGCAAGGCACGTTTTAACCAGGGGTCACGACCTGTATTAGCCCACAGCCCTTATTCCAGCCTGGGCTGGACTTTCCAGATCCTTACCCACCCTCCAGAGCTACCTCTTTTTTTTTTTAACATTCTATTTTATTTATTTATTTATTTATATTATTAAACAGAGCTACCTCTTAAAAGCAGCTTCTCAGAGGTCACTTGCTTGGTGTTTTCTTGCCTTTGTTGTACGTAGCCAGACTGTAAACCTCACACTGATTTGGGGTGAAGACTTTAAAAGGAGGCAAGGCTTAAAGTAACATACTGTACATATCGGACTTGGCTTTGGGTGGAGGGTGGGAAGGTACCTTCTTTACCGACAGTCCCGCCACCCACAATTCCCTGCAATTCAGGGTCGGAGAAGGGACTCAGTCAATCAATTGCCCGCTAACTTTGGCTCTGGACATTCCGAGGATGGTTATAGCCCTGCTCTCTCCCCAGGTGTCACTCCGACAGTGATCTTCCTTTTCTAGCCGTGTACGCACACACACATACGCACACGCACACGCACCACGGGGCCCCATCACTCTTCTCGGCATTCTCCTGAGAATTCGGCGACGCCAGGTCTGAGATTTGGTGGCAGTTCCCCAGCGGACGCGGTTCCCTCCAGCGTCTCCAGCATGTTGACATCCCCATGGTCCGAGGATTCCCTATTCCCCTTGGACCAGCACAGTCCTCCGCCCCCAGCTTTCGTAATAACCCAGCCCTCCCCGTCTCGGCTCCACAAGGCGAAGTCGGAGGGTAAGGAAGGAGCCCAAGACCATGACAGCAGCTTGACGGAGCCCAGGACGAGGGCAGACAGGGCAACCGGGTGAGGATCCAGAGAGGGCATCAGAGCGCGAGACTGACGCGTGAAGCGGCAGGGACAGGGTCCGAGGTGCGCGCAGGAGTTCGGGATCTTGGGCAGAGTGAGGACAGAGGAGGCGGAGGGGACCAGAGACTCAGACGCTAGGAGGTGCGACTGGAGTCTGAGCCGGGGAAGCCAGAGATCGAGCTCTGGGAGCGATCTCGGTCGCGAAGCGGGCTGGGTCCTGCCGGGCTAGAGTCTGAGTTCGAGACCTCGCGGGGCCCAGGGACAGCGGAAGGGTAAAATTGTCCCTGATATAGCTGGAGGAGGGGAGACCGGGCGGGCCAGGGACGCGGGAGGGAGGCACGGCGGGCACTGACCCGAAGTAGGCGGCGACAGCGGCGGGCAGCGCCAGCAGGCAGAGCCCGGCCAGGGCGAGCGCAGGCGATGGGCGCATGGTGCTGGCGGCGCGGCGCCCTCTAGCATCTCCTTGCGCCGCTCAGCGCTCGCAGCGCCGCCACCAGCAGCCAGCAGGACTTTAAACCCCGGAGGGGCGGGGCGGAGCGGGCGCTGCTGAGGGAGGGAGCAGCGCAGGCGGTGCCCCCTCCCCCGGGCGGCGAGCCCCCCGTTCTATTGGCCCTGCTGTCTTCGCCCCGCCCCATCGAGGGTGGGGCTGCTGCCCCTGACCAACCCCACCCCCACCCACTACTGCTCCAGCCGCAGGTGAGAGCTCACCTGGCGCCTGGCCCGCTGGAGGCCACGGCCACTGAACGCAAAGTCCCCTGGGCCTGGAAAGGCAGGGATGGGAGTGCAGAGCGAGCACTGAGGAGGCTCTGCCTCTCCAGGGTGGGGTGGAGGAACGTACAATCTCTCCTCCGAGGTAGAGAAGGTGCAGTGATAACAGCAGAGATGCAACTGGAGGCGTGTAGAACACCCACCTGGTTACCCTTTCTTCTGCCCAGCAGGTGTGGGTCTTTTCGCCGGAGTCCCGGGAATCTTGAGGGCAGGGCCCGGTCGAATGTCTTGAGGGACTCTCTTCCCGGGCAAAGGGAGTCCTGGGAGGACTATTGGTCAGAGGGAAAGGGAAAAGGGCACCCTGCTTTTAAACAGAGAAGACTGCATCGGCCTCAGTGGGTGTGTGACAGAACGCTGCTGATGTTCCTGGGAACAGAAATCCACACTCTGGGTAGTGGAGTGGGCAGGGCCAGGGTAGGGAGGTAAGGTCCTGCTCTCTAAGTTGTGTAGATGCTAGAACCTTTACCAGAGAGAATGTAGACCTCCTGTGTTTTGCCCCCAAAGTCCATCTTTCTTGTTCTTTTTTCAAGTTTAACTCCAATTCCTGCAGGGAAGGTGCAGTGATCAAAGCAGTGGGTGGAGTCTAGAGACGAGACATGTAACCAATGACCCAAGTCAGATTTAAAATGTTTTTGAGAGGCTTGAACACTGGATCAAATCAAGCCCAACAAAATGTACCTTGCAATGAGTGTCAAGACCTGTATGTCAAGCTTCAAAAAAATCAGCCATGCATGTAGAACATCAGGTGACAGTGACCTTGGCTTTGAAGTGGACACCAGCATGGTAGGGTCTGGGAGAATTGTTGGAAAGATGGCATCTGCAATGTTAGGTGTTGTTAACAGAGAAGTCCTCACCACAGTGAGGCTTTTTAGGGTCAGTTTCTCTGTCAAATGAACAGGGTGGTTAGATGACCCGATGATCTTTAACATCTCTGCCAGCCCTATCAAATCTCATGGTTCCATTAACTGAGGCCAAACGACCCTAGGTGGTGTGCAGAGACCTGGAGTTAAATTATGAGCCACAGATACGAAGTGGGGATGATGAGAAATATGTTAACGGGATTTGTGTGCAGATAAGATGTCAGATGCTGTGCTGGTTTGGGTACTCAATGTCAAGGTTTGCAACTGTTGGGGGCAGGGGAGGATTGGTGTCTGATTTGTATCCTTTGTTGATTTCTATGCCATAAATACTTCCACCATGATTGATTTCAAGCTACCAATATGGTATTATTCCTGAGTATCGGAGTTAGAAATAGAAGTGCATAATCAACTCTGCAAACCAGTTGGACCCAGCTTCAGCATGTCACTGATGAGACCTTGAAACAAGACCAAGGAGGCTTAAAGAAAGAGGGGACTGAGCTGGACCAGTGTGAGTCAGAGGGGAGGAAGAGCCATAGACTGGGGTGGAGAGACCCCACCAGGCCCTAGCCATGCCCTGCTGTCTCCCAAGGGCAGGCAGATAATGAAGGAATGAGTCCAGCTTGGGCTGCCCCAGTTTCTCTTCCTGTCCTAATGCCCATGAGTACACACAAGCATGTATAAGCAAGGAGAAGTGGGGTGGCACATTCTCTGAAAGTGACACATTTTGAACATTTCATAAATGTTACCCACTAGATGTCAACCCAATTAACATCAACCCAGTTCACCCAATGAGTTGGAGGAAGCACCAAAGATACCATGGAAGCTGGGCTTAGCAGCTCATGCCTGCAACTCCAGCAACTTGGGAGGCAGAGGCAGGAGAACAGCTTGATGCTGGGAGTTTGATATCAACCTGGGCAATAGCAAGACCTCATCTTTTTTTAAAAAATGAAAAAAATTAGCTAGGCAAGGTGGTATGTCCGTAATCCCAGCAACTTGGGAGGCTGACGCAGGATGATCACATGAGCCCAAGAGTTCAAGACTGTAGTGAGCTATGATGATGCCACTGCACTCAAGCCTGCGTGACTGAGCTGAAACTGTCTCTTAAAAAAATAAAATAAAATAACAAAAAATAAAATAAAGATTGATGGAGACAGCAGTAGTTGAAGAGTGAATACCCCGTACAGAAAGTGTTCAGATGCTCTTGAACCCGCACCAGCCAATGGCATGCTCCTTCCTCTTGATGTTAGAACCATGCCAGGTCTCTGACTGCTGAGGTGACCACCAGCTTGCCAATGGAGGCTTCAGAGTTCTGCTTCTCCCTTCTCGGTCAACAGGGCTGTGTGGAAATGCCCAGATGGCAGCTCCTTGTTGTTGATAATATTTCCATAGCAGCCCCCATGTACCAAGCTCTGAGTGTGTGTGCACTGCATGTGTGTGCCGGGCCTGGCCCATGGTCTCAAGGAAACCTCAAGAACCCTGGGGGGCTCAAACTATCATTATCCCCATTGCACAGATGAGGAAACTGAGGCCTGGAGAACGTAAGTACTGATGTAGATGGCCCAGCTGTAATAGCGGTGGCAGTTGAGCCCAGACCCAGTGGGACCATCTACACTGGCTGTGGCTTAAGACAGGGTGGCAGTCTCAGGGCTTCCCGGGCACAACGTGACTCATAGTGGCCTTTTTGCATTATACATCCTTACAGAGCAGCGTGTTCCTCCTATGAGCCCTCAGGGGGCTCATAGAATGGAGGGAGAGATGGCAGTGAAAACAGAACATCCTACAATTGCTGAATCCCTGAGGAGGGACATGAGGAGTGGCCCTGGAGACGAACAGCTTTGTGCCATAAACAGTTTGTGCTCTGTCCTCAGTCCCTTTTGCTCTCTGGGATCCTTGGTGACTGAGCCTGAGTTTTAGTTCTGTGTTTTCAGAGCTTGGTACAGGGCTCAGCACACAGTAGGTGCTGAGGAAACATGTTATTGCAGTTTATAACCCTGGTCTGTGGCCTTTTTATGGAGCTGTAGAGATGTAAGTTGTCATACACAATGGGTGCTCACAGAAGCACTCCCTCCTGAGCTCAGACATGCTCCATAGAGCACACACCCTCCCACCTGAGTCCAGGCATTCAGGGACACACAGAGCCCCACACCTCCCCCATGATGTCTGAATTCCTAGGCAGCCCCACAGCTGCTCCTGGACCTACACGTTCACACAGGTATGCAGGAGGCACATTCTTAGACATCCGCAAGCAGCTACCTGTCTCCATTACCAAGCCCAAGGCAGCCGCCCCTCAGGCTTGTAGTCCTCACCTTCCCTTGTGTGCACGCGTGCATGCACACACACACTGTGGAGGTCACAGATATGAGGCTGAGAGCCTGGCAAAGGCTGCATCGAATCCAGCTCTGGGTGTCTCCAGATCTCTTCCTGCCCCCACCTGCTGGCCAGGCCACATTACTTGAAGCAAACCCTCAGGAACTATCCATCCTTGTCTGGCTCAGGTCCCTCAAGCCTCCAAATCCCAGCCAGAGCAGCACTCAGAAAATCCTTGGAGCTCATTGCCAGGCCATGATCGAGTGGCAATGCACAGTCCAGGCTGTCTTCCTCTCACTTCCCTCCTGGCTACATCAGAAACGGGCTCTGGACCCAACAAGAAGTGGGCAGTGATGTCCAGCAGCCAGGGAAGGTACCTGTGCTGACCTAAGACATGGCTGCTCAGGAGGACTGTGGCTGCAGGGTCTCGGACTGGCCCAGATGGGTTTGCTCATCTGTCTCTCTCCCTGTCCCTTCCATCCTCTTCGTAATATGGGCTTCTTTGCTGTGGCCTCATTTTTGGCTGGTTCCATCCTGACCACGTACATCAGTCTCTCACATTTGAACTGTATGAGTAATGCCTTTGCAGCACTCCACATGCACGTTGCTCTTCCCTGTCCCCATTATACAGATGACTAAAGGCCAGAAAGGTGAGTAATTTTCTCAAGGTCACAGAACTCACTGACACTTGGTAGTGGAGGACTGGTTTCTGGAACATCAGACTGAAATGGCACTGAAGCTAAGTGGGGAAAGTGGGCTTCTGCATCTTTGAGCTTCGCCAAGAGAGGCCGAATGCAGAGTGGGACCCTCTAGCCCTTTGGCACCATGCTTCCATGGCCAAAGTTAGCTGGTTTCCTCTCAGAAGCCTACTTTAACTGACCAGACTGCCTCTGTTCACTTGCCACCTTGGTGCTAGAAACTTCATCTGCACAACTTTCTTTTGTGCCAATGACTACATCAAGGCACACACTGTCCTTGAGTTTGGAGGGGGTGTCTGGTATCCCTGCTCTGTGTAGATTGCAGATTCCTCAAGAACTAAGACCCTGTTCCCTTTTTCTTTTATATACACACCTCCTCCACTGGTGGCACTGAGCTGCATTCAGCCCACACGAAAGTGATGGTTAAATGACTGAATTGACAAACGGATAACGGAAATGAATGAACCCCGATAGGTCAGACCTGACTTGTGGATGGCTACAAACTACCCAGATTTTATGTTTATGAGATACAAGATGTTGAGATACAAGAATTAGAAGTGTTCTGAGAAGTCTGGTTTTGTTGAGTATTTTTTGTAAGTTTTGTCTAGTTATGAATAATTATAGGTAGGTAGGTGAATGGGTGACCTACAGAGAAAATCCCAATTTCAGATAACCTGTTCCATTGTCCCCATAAGTCATCTCATAAATGTCAGGTGATGTATACGGTTATGCCTGACTGGGTTCCGGGTTCGCTATGAATATAACCCCCTCCCCACCCCTGGTGACCATTGCAGAAGGGTTAGAACCCAGTGAGATGCCTGGGGAGGCAACACAGGACAGCAGGCCTCTGTCTTG